AATGAATTATTTTAATATTTAAGAAATCAATAGTTTATTCAGTTTTCATGTTTATTCCCTGCATAAGAGACAGAAAAAATGGCTTGTAAACTGCTACAGCTAGAGGAATAATATATTTTTCTTAATCAATGTAAAATCATTTGAGTATTTCCTATGAGCATATTATAGGATCATAAACAAACCTCATGAAACACGATAAATTTGTAAAGCCAAACAACCACTGTATTACATCAGGCTACTTTTCCACAATTATATTTAATTAATTACTAAATAATTTAGAATATTCTGCAAGAAAAGAATTAGCCTGGAGTGGGACTCAAATTGCAACTTCCACTTACTGTGTGGATGCGTTGCCAGTTATGCTGCTTGAGCCTCTGGTCCGATCTCCTCTTCCAGACATGTAATCAAGGATGGTTATATCATATTTAAATATGTCAATAGTTTCCTGGAGATTATCAAAACAATTTCTTTATTATAAATAGAAGAGGAGGATTATCTAGTAATCATAGATTGCAAAGTCTTTTCATATGCATTGATGCAGCCATTTCCCTTAAGAGGGAGCATATGTAAAAGTGGGGGAAAGTTCTGTTAAGTAATTTTGGAGCTGTAGCAGACTCTTGTCTTGATCTAATTTTGAACAATTTGTATTTTTTATGTGATGATAGATTTTTACTTACAAAAGAGGGAGTCTTTGTGGGGTCATCAGTATCTGGGACATAGCAGTAGTAGTATTCCAGTAGGTTGAGAGCCCATGTGTTCAGGAGTTTAAGCAGAACATCAAAATCATATTATGATATAGATGACATATTTATGGTTTGGAGATATAAAGATGTGGTTAGCAAATTCATACATATAATTAATAAAAATCCTGTAAGGGTTTTGTCAATTGCTAGTGGAAGTTTTAATATTTAACTATTAATCATTTAGAATTAACAATTTTTAAGAGCAAGGGATGGCTGCACACTAAGGTCTTTCAAAAACACACTGCTGTAATACACTTCCTTATACACTGGAGATCTCATGACATCATACAGCACAAGCTAGCCTCCTTTAGAAGCTATTAGAGTGTGTTTTCTTTGAAGTTGATGGAACACAAATCCAAGCATCCAGTCCAGGTAACTGAGAACTAGTGAACATGGTGTTAAAAGTAAATGCATTTGGGTATCCAGAGTTTTTAAGAAATAACACTATTATCTTGTATATAATTTAGTATCACTTGGCTTTCAGATATATGATTTTGGATATTATCAGTAATTCCAGAACAATCATGTTCTGAAAATATCAATTCTGATTCAAAAATTCAGGAACAGCATGTTTTATCAACATGTTGATTGAGACTCCAAGTTTAAATTGTGACAAACTTCCTACACTTTCAAACATATATATGTCTCTTTAATCTGAAAAATTACAAGAATTCCGGTAGACTATCTTACAGCCTTTAGACTATCTTATATCCTTTATTGAAGATACAGGTTACATATGCATTTTGGGCTTATTTTATCTTTAAGTCCCTCTTCAGTGCTATACTAAAAAATTTTAGAACAAATAGTAATGTAACATTATAATGCATGTAGATTATATCCTTTGACATAAAAACTATTTTATCATACCAAAAAAAGAAGGTTTTCCACGATTTTTTCTTACAAATTCACTAATATGACACTTATGGATTTTTTTACATTATTCATAAATCCTGGGCATATATCATATTACATTAAAATTCTAAACAATCTCTAAAAATTCCCAAAGATACATTCAGAGCTGGCCCTATCATAGGGTGAACAGAACAGCTGCTCCAGGTGCTAAGTCCTAGGGGGTGCCTCAGTGGTAAAGAAAATTAAAGAAAAAAATTTTTTTTTTCACTTTTCGATATTTTTGGGGGAGGCGCCATAATAGGATCTCGCTCCATCCTAAAACTTGCCTAGGGCCGGCACTGTATACATTTTTAATCACAAACAGCAGTAGGGTAACAACATTAATATATTTTCACACTCACAATACATCGTACTTTACATTATGGTGTATCACAAAAATTTTTTAGTATAGCACTGAAGAGGAGCTTAAAGATAAAATAAACTCGAAATGCATATGTAACCTGTATCTTAAATAAAGGATGTTCCTGACCTAAAGGCTGTAAGATAGTCTACCGAAATTTTTGTGATTTTTTGGATTAAAGAGACATATATATGTTTGAACAAATAAACAGCTACCATAACAGATATTCCTACACTTTCTTTGTAAACTCTGAGGGAGTTGACAGTGCTTGAAGCATAATCTGAGTACAAAAGTAAACATGGGATGGCACACTCTGATTTCTAAAGTAAATGCATTTGAGGCACTTGGTAGGTTAAATCTTAAAAGTAAATGCACCCTTAGAAGAGCCTTTACCCATTTCTCAATGGTAGTAGTAGGACTGCTGAATTCCAACAGATTAGGATTATTGCTTGGAATTGTAGTTAACACACTGGTATGATAGATAGTATTATCAAAGCTACCTGTAATAAGAAGAAAAAAATTGTTGGAAATATGTAGAGATAAGTGTAATATGTAATATGCTTGTGGTTACGGACAAGAAACCTGGCTTTGTTAGTAGCACCAAATGTTAAGAAATGTAAGTTCACTTTAGATGTTAGAAGATTAACCAGTCATAAACATACTCTGCTCTGATAAAGATAGAGCTCATAGAGCCCATATACTTTCAAATCTACTCAGTTTTTGATGCAAAAGATTCATCTGTCTCAGTCAGAAAACTTTCCTCATATATCAACTTATCATAATTACACGTCCTTCTGAAGAAGAAAACAAATAATATTAAAGAATCAGAAAAATAGAAAAAGTGGGACATAATTTTTGGCATTAATATAATTGAATGTAGTTATTTCAGCCTTCATTTCACGGTTCTATCCAAAAACCATCAAACATGATTATTTGGAATCATAAAATGAAAACAAAAATATATTTTTATAGATTTAGTCAATTATTGCACCACTGACAAAAATCATCATAATTTAAAATAATGCTGAGTAAATTTAATAATAGTAATTGTAGAAAATGCCACATCATGTCTGCAATTACAACACATTAGGCTGCTTCAGGTTACAAGCTTTTAGCACAAATAGACTACTTACATCAATATAACCAAATAGAAAACATAATACAAACTACTATATACCCAGCAACCATACTATAAATATATTTTATTTATTTATTTATGCATACTGGATACACTCCTTGATACAGGGAGCAATACCATCTCCCAAAAAAACAAAAAAAACAAAACACTTAGATACAATGAACATAAGATCACAAACAAATTATACAATAAAACAATAAATAAATACAGTAACAATTTAGATATAAATAAAAAATTATCAAAAATGTTAACAAGGAGAAGAGACCAGTCCATTAAATCCAAATTATTATTTATAAGATTAATACCATGATTATTACAGGTATCAATAAAATAATGTGTCCAATCTATAAACTTCTTGCCAAGTATAAATTTCAGGCAAACCTTACTCAGACGAAAATCATCAAGATTAGAAATTCTAATAATCAAATTTCTTATCCTAATAATTATTATAAATTTGATAGGAGTCAAGGCACATTTCATCATAATTAAATAACCTGGTGAACAACGAGGTAAACAAAATAAGTTTTTAATGAATTCAGTCTGTATGCCATCACCATTGGCCAAGTTAAAACCCAAACTCTGATGCATATAACAAAGAGGGCAAAACTACAGTTTTCAATAGACGTAAGTACTATAAATATACACCTCAGATGATCATAAAAAAACAAAACAAGTCAAAAATGCAATCTTTACCATGCAGCACAGCAAGTGCAAGACTAATTTTGTTAGATGAGGAGAGGCAGGTATGGGAGTGTTCTTTGATCAAAACTAATTTTAAAGGTGATGCACAAACATAGCTTTCTAGTAGGAAAATCTTGTCAATATTTAACTTGCTGTTAGCCAAACTATTTTGGCAAAATTCTATACATTTTAATTTAATGTATTAGAATATCTTGCTTTTAAGTAAACCTTGCTATTAAGGGACTTTATAATAGAGGAGTTCTACTGAATTTGAAATGCAAATTTAGAGAGAGTGTTTTTATTAAAAAAATTTTGGAGATTTGTTAACAATAAGAGAAAAATTAAAATTTCAATAATTTTGACTAAGCTTGTACAAATGAAAAACTAGTTGAATTAATACAAATTTATAATAAAATTATTTTTATGCTTTAATTTAACTTTAGTTGTTTTTTTGTCAAATAGAATCATTTAATGTAGACTATACAAAAACACTTAGCATATTACTTATATGAAATATCTTTACAGCAATTAAATTTTGCATTGATTACATTATTTTTATCAGTAGCTTCATGATAAATTCTCATGAATAAAAATGTCATATCATAATGAAAATTTTTACAATGCTTATAATAACCTGTGTTGATAATTATTATTTTGTGGTCAGTTTGTGTATTATGGTTAAATGTTACTCATTTATACATTGCAATCATAGTATTGGTAACATTGCTATTAATTATGATAAATTGGGGTTTTAGTTTTTCAAGTTTTAACATGAATGAAAGAAACAAGCTATTTGTTTATTTGTGAATTCATTTTATTCATTTGAAAAGATGAAGATTATTCACAAACATAAAATATATAATAGAGTATAAAAATGTGCTCTCTAATGATGCCAAATTTAGATTAAGAGTAAACCAAAGTTTGGTTTATTCTTGATATAATAGAGACCAAATTTCAAAATAATTGGCATATCTTGAATGATCAATGAAAAATTTGAGAATTTTTATCATTCTGATTGTAAAATGATTTAAATTAATAATAAAAGTTTTGAAACAGTTATAGCTTTTAGATCATCTTTCATTATATAGCTCATTTTTTATTAGCCAACTATTTATTGTATTATTAATGTAGTCATAAAGATGCTTTTAATAAAATGACAATAATGAATTAGTTGTTTTGTTTTCAGGATAAAAGAGTTGCAGAAACAGAAGCTGATTTAAATAAATTAAAACATGAATTAAAAGAAAGACAGCAAATCTGTGCAAATTTAGTAAGTTTTTAAATAAAGCTATTTTTATTTTATTTCATATGACTTTCAGTCTGCTTAATTTAAAGGAACAAACTTCTTTATATTTTTAATAAAAATGTTATTTGCTACTATCAAGCAATCTTGAGTTATAACTTTTGGTTTTTAGAATTTTTCAAAGAAGAACAAATACATTATTACCAATTGTAAATTTTTTTCCAAACTTTTAAAATTTTGAAAGCTTCAAAAAGTTGCATTTAAAAGTGTCATTAAAATTTACAAAATATTTTTAACAATTTAATAAAAATTGCACATTGTTAATTATCATTAACCTTTTAATAATATTAACATTTATAATATGTGGTGTGTAACCTAATACATTTGTGTAATTAGTACTTTTATAGTAGCTCCTTGATAACTATTTTATCCTTATTCAGATTTTACTTTTTTGGCTGTTATGTATACATAACAAGGGAAAGTATTGAAATGATATCAGATTTGACCCTTTAAGTTTTTTTGCAAATTTCCATGCTTAGAGACCTCCTGAATCTAAAAAATTCAAAAAAATAGCAAAAATATTTCATGGATGTGTGTTGGCATATATTTTGCTTAATATCTCAGAATGGGGTAAAGATTAAGTAACAAAATTTGGCGTGATGGCTTGTGAGGAGCATGTGCATTATGAGAAGCATTGATGCTATTAAATTTTAATGTTAAAGGTTAAGAGGGTGGGAAATAAAGGGTCATGAGTATCTCCAGTAGGGTCAGACTTAATGACGATTTTACTCATTATTAACATTTATAACACAAAACATCTAACTGTAGCACTGTGTTGAGTAATAACTGTCCACAAAAAACCTTTATCGGTGTTGTGTTTGTTACAATATCCACTAACGTTTTCGACCTTCATCGAGGTCTTCTTCAGGTGCTGACTAACTTGTAAGTGTTGTTTCCCCTTGACTGTTAGAACAATGTCGTCCGAGTTGTAAATATTGCACGTATCACGTTTCACCCCTCCGCTTGTCCCTGTTCAAATTCCCCAAATAGGTATCTACATGCCTGCATGATCTGCATGATCGTTTCTCCGTCTTTAAAGTTGATACAGGTGCCCCAACGTTGGGAGGCACCTGTATCAACTTTAAAGATGGAGAAACGATCAAGGGGAAACAGTCAAGGGGAAACAACGCTTAGTCAGCACCTGAAGAAGATTTCGATGAAGGTCAAAAACGTTAGTGGATATTGTAACAAACACAACACCGATAAAGGTTTTTTGTGGACAGTTATTAACATTTATACTTTTTTTTTTTTTATAAAATTCATCTCTACCCTCAGAATTAAGCATTTTGTCATTTTATAGTAATTAAAAATATAAAAAGTTTTTTATAACAAAATCTCATAACAGATGGTGCCACACAATTTTATTAAGTTATATTGTGATTAAAATTATAAAAGTTATTTTCAAAATAAGATCTCATGATAACAGGAAAAATTATATTACTCATTGTCAGATTTTTTTGTTATCCTTTTGGCTACTTTTTCTAGATTTATTTTATCTAACACCATTTTCCAGCTGTTTATAGCTCAAATGCAACATTTTTGTTAATAATATTAATGTATTTTGCTAGACTGTAAGTATATACTTGTTCTAAAATTATAAGTGCAAACCTACCCTACTTTCTTATACTAAAACCAATTTATCCCATTTAATCTTTATTATTATCTCTTGTTCATTTTCAAGAGCTGTGATATTTTCATGTTTAGTTGTTGCTAATGTTTTGTAATGTATTGTTATTGTTTGTTTTTTATCAATCTATACAGGGAACCCATATAGAATTTTTTCTTACTTTTGGTGAGTTTTATTGCATATATCCCTACTTTTGATAGATTGTTGTGATTTTCTATTTTGAAGTACTTTCATGATTGAGATTGACTGCTGACCCCTATTTTATAATCTGCTTGCTTGACATATTTTTTTTGTTATTCTTGATGTCTTTTTCCCATAATAACTAGAAACTCTTTTTTCTAATTCTTACGTTTTTTGTTGTTTGTTGTTTTGTAATGACTTAATTATACCTGTAACTACTCCATTAGGGTAACAGTGTCCTTTTGCCATCCTTTTAATCCTTTATATTACATTAAGTTTGTTCATTTCTATACTAGAATATGTTATAGCTTTTTTAACTAATGATCTGATCACTGCTAATTTTTGGGTTGTAATACTACTCCAGTGAATATAAGTGTCTATTGCCCTTATACTGATTTTATTTCTAAATTTTAAATTGTATATATTCCTTAATCAAAGTTATAAATAAAATATTCTGTAGTAAGTTTATTAACAACTTTGATTAAATTTCTTTCTAATGTTTTAGGAATTAAAATTGACTTTTCAGAAAATGAATTGATCAAATATCTTTTTAAATTTATTTTTCAAGAATATTTTTCAAAATTTGTTATTACAATATATAATTTATTTATTATTATTTTACACTTTAAATTTTCATTATTCATTATTGATTTGTTTGCTATAATTGAAATATACACAGTGAATATTTAAATAAAATATGAATGTTCTTAAAGTTTATAATAAAAAATGTATCATCTAAAACACATGTTAAATGTATACAGGAATTCCCTATGTTAGTAGACTAAAATTATTAGAAAAAATAAAGAGATATTCTATTATTGATAATATTGGTTAAATTTATTTCGATAAATTATCAGAAATGTTTTCATTATATTGGCTTTGAAATTATTTAGATTGTTTTAATCTTAATTGTGATTGTTTAGTTAAATTTAAAATATATATATATAATTTATTTAACTAATTTAATATGACAGATATTCTATTTTAATTTCTAAAATCAGTTTTGACAAAAAATTTTTGCTTATTAAGATTTTTAATAAATATGATACATAAATATAAATAAAAAAAGTACTTTAAAAAAAAGAATAGTAAATCAAACTGGATGGATACACTTGAAATAGAATAAATCCATTTTTTAATGTCCAGAAAAAAGAAAAATTAAAACAAAGTTTTCAGCTGTGTTAAATGGCCATGCTCAAGTTAGAACAAAAAGGAAAGATATCATTCTAAAACAGTACATGAAAGTTAGATTGGAAGAACATAGACAAAATTTAAAACTTAGAAACAAAAGAATAAAAATTTTTAAATTAACAAATAAAACATGTTATATGAGAAATTATATAAATTAAATGTTTCTTATCATTCATATAACAATTGGAAACCTTATAACTGAGATACCTATTTACAAGATTATGCTTATAAATTTCTAATAACTATTCTAGTGGGAACAAGATGTGCCTATTATATGATTTCTAGTTTTTTTTTACTCTTTCTATTGTGTAATAATTTGTAGATAGTAAAGCTCTGTCAAATAATAACTTTAAAATTTCTTATTTGAGCAATGCTCTAATATATTTTAGTAAGCATGCTATTGTATGTAACTATTCTGTGAAATCTGAAACAGGCATTGTTCACTTATACTAGATATTGTTACTGTAGAAGTAAGTAAAAATTAATCTCTTGATAGGGTGTAAAGAAAAGATCATATTCCAATATATGTTCAACAGTTTTTAATTCTAAAAACATAACTTTTACTTTATTTGTATATGCTCTCTGAATGATAATTTTTAATATGGAAAACATACATCTTACTTTATATATCTTATATTTTAGAGAACTGTGCTTTACAAAAGTTTTCTGCATTTAGTTTAATTTTTGTGCTGGACATTAAAGGCTAATTTATTGTACTTTTACTTTAAAATTTTAATTAGATATAATTTTTATATAATTGATTTATTTTTATTTCAATGTATTATTTCTGTAATATATTGATATATAATTATTATATGTAATATAATATAATATGTGTAATATATAACTGTATTGATTAATTTATTTAATATAAATAATAGAAAAAACAATTAAATAAAGTTTTGGATGAAAAATCTCATCTTGAAGAATATAATAGTGATCTTCAACAACAAGTATTGGAGTTACAACCTGTAAGATGATCTATATTTTAATTATTTTTATAAATATTTAAATATAATAACAAAATAATAGTACTAAATTTATCATTATAAAAATGCTTTAATCTAAGGAAATGTTTTTGATTATTGTAAATTAAGTAATATTATACAGATAGCAGAGAAAATATGCATTAACAGGATTAGAGCTATTTCTTTATTGTGGATATTTAATTTTTATTTAATTTCCCTATGCTGAAAAAGAGCGTATAAGAAAATTTGCATAGATTAAGGTTTTATTGGCTTTTGAATTTTTTTATTTAGTGTTTTTATAAAATCAATAATGACTAATTAGAGAATTATTTTGAAAAATTACTTCCAAAATAATTCTTTTGGAAAAAATCACTAGTTTTTTAAGGAATACAAATTTTTGATTAATTGATTAAATTTTTGTTATATGAAGTTTGTAATCTAGAGTTTTTATTTTAGATAGTGGATGATTGTAATCTATTGCAAGAAACTTTAACAAGAGTAGAAAGTAATTATAAAATAGCAAAGTCTGAAGTAGACAGTTTGCAAGGAAAGGTTAACAACCTGGAGGCTTTAGTACAGGTATTATAAATATATTAATTCTTTATATAGACATAGACATAGACATATATTTTATTCAGCATGCTGCATATGGCATATCTGGGTGCCACAAAGGTATAATCCAGTAATGTACAAGACAAAATTACAATTAGATACATGTTCAGTTATTAAATGATAATATATGATATAAGATAGTATAAAATAGAATTAGTTACAAGACATTTACATATGACAATTACATATAATAACAGGATAAGATAATTAATAAACAAATGAAAATACAATTCACTTACTAGATTCAAATACAAATAATTGGGTACAAATTATATATGGCAGTTACATATATTAATAGGATGAAAAATTAGATAGGCTAATAAAATACAAAGTCAAATTCAAATTCAAATACCAATGATCACATACAGATAGTCAAATAGGAAGACAATATACTGATACAGCAGTGGCGTGCCGTCATTAGAAGCGGTGGAAGCGCCGCTTCCCTTGTATTTTATAAAAAATAAATACATACTAATTTTAATTATATGAAAATAATCGCACAATATTTTATTATAACCGCATTATGTACCTTATTACAAATTTCTATACTACNGACCGCACACCCCTGCGATACAGATACAAATATTTTAGATAATAAGGGTTGTCAAGCCTCCTGACATGGAATAAGTGAGATTGGTCACCGGAAAAGTGTTGTTAGACTGGATGTTGCTTTTTGGAGAGATTAGTAAAAAGGCAGTTGGATTAATGTAACCGGTTGTGTAACAAAAGAACAAAGAGTGCACAAAGATTACACACAGTCTTTACTCATGGAAGGTCAGCACTAGAAAGGGGGAGAGTGAAACGAGATCACCTTGCCCAAGGGGTCAAGAGCGCCACCAACCTTTTATTATGTCAGAACATTACAAAACATCGCAATCGTTGATTCCAACAGAAAGCAGGCCTGTGGGCGCAATAAACAGAACAGGAAAACTGTTGGGATTATGTCGTGTAATCATATTGACGCTGTCTTTCAGTTTTAATGTGCAAGTATACCGGACAATCTTTATTCATAGAGTTGTGATCAGTCTTTGAATGTTTACCCTTTTTACAATTGGTGAAAACTGGAGTCTCGAGCTATTTCTTTATTGTGGATATTTAATTTTTATTTAATTTCCCTATGCTGAAAAAGAGCGTATAAGAAAATTTGCATAGATTAAGGTTTTATTGGCTTTTGAATTTTTTTATTTAGTGTTTTTATAAAATCAATAATGACTAATTAGAGAATTATTTTGAAAAATTACTTCCAAAATAATTCTTTTGGAAAAAATCACTAGTTTTTTAAGGAATACAAATTTTTGATTAATTGATTAAATTTTTGTTATATGAAGTTTGTAATCTAGAGTTTTTATTTTAGATAGTGGATGATTGTAATCTATTGCAAGAAACTTTAACAAGAGTAGAAAGTAATTATAAAATAGCAAAGTCTGAAGTAGACAGTTTGCAAGGAAAGGTTAACAACCTGGAGGCTTTAGTACAGGTATTATAAATATATTAATTCTTTATATAGACATAGACATAGACATATATTTTATTCAGCATGCTGCATATGGCATATCTGGGTGCCACAAAGGTATAATCCAGTAATGTACAAGACAAAATTACAATTAGATACATGTTCAGTTATTAAATGATAATATATGATATAAGATAGTATAAAATAGAATTAGTTACAAGACATTTACATATGACAATTACATATAATAACAGGATAAGATAATTAATAAACAAATGAAAATACAATTCACTTACTAGATTCAAATACAAATAATTGGGTACAAATTATATATGGCAGTTACATATATTAATAGGACACCATTTTCCAGCTGTTTATAGCTCAAATGCAACATTTTTGTTAATAATATTAATGTATTTTGCTAGACTGTAAGTATATACTTGTTCTAAAATTATAAGTGCAAACCTACCCTACTTTCTTATACTAAAACCAATTTATCCCATTTAATCTTTATTATTATCTCTTGTTCATTTTCAAGAGCTGTGATATTTTCATGTTTAGTTGTTGCTAATGTTTTGTAATGTATTGTTATTGTTTGTTTTTTATCAATCTATACAGGGAACCCATATAGAATTTTTTCTTACTTTTGGTGAGTTTTATTGCATATATCCCTACTTTTGATAGATTGTTGTGATTTTCTATTTTGAAGTACTTTCATGATTGAGATTGACTGCTGACCCCTATTTTATAATCTGCTTGCTTGACATATTTTTTTTGTTATTCTTGATGTCTTTTTCCCATAATAACTAGAAACTCTTTTTTCTAATTCTTACGTTTTTTGTTGTTTGTTGTTTTGTAATGACTTAATTATACCTGTAACTACTCCATTAGGGTAACAGTGTCCTTTTGCCATCCTTTTAATCCTTTATATTACATTAAGTTTGTTCATTTCTATACTAGAATATGTTATAGCTTTTTTAACTAATGATCTGATCACTGCTAATTTTTGGGTTGTAATACTACTCCAGTGAATATAAGTGTCTATTGCCCTTATACTGATTTTATTTCTAAATTTTAAATTGTATATATTCCTTAATCAAAGTTATAAATAAAATATTCTGTAGTAAGTTTATTAACAACTTTGATTAAATTTCTTTCTAATGTTTTAGGAATTAAAATTGACTTTTCAGAAAATGAATTGATCAAATATCTTTTTAAATTTATTTTTCAAGAATATTTTTCAAAATTTGTTATTACAATATATAATTTATTNAGTACAAAGTAACCGGTTTTGACTTATTTCTACTTAAGAAGTAGTTAAATAATTAAGCGATTAGGGAATTGGGGACGTAAACAAAACCCTGATGAAAGAGCCGGAATATTACTTAAACAAAAGCTTAACCGAACCAATCTATAGCCGAGTACAGTGGGGACTGATTTCTTCGAAATACTGTATTAGATGTAATAAAGACAGAAATTTTTCCAGTTCAACAAGAGTGACCGAAAAGTTGTAAATTTTGGAAATTTTCATGGACAACACCTGGTCCTAAAACGAATTAGTTAGAAAACAAAAGACGGACAATCTATTAAGTTTAACGTATTTAGATTTTTACAGCTATGATGAGAAATATTTAAAATTTACAATAACCTTGTTGCGTCCTTTGAGATATACTAGTGATACGACAAAAGAGGCATTTGATGTTAACCGGTATCGGCACCCTTGGGATTTGGCACGCATGCATGCACTGCACACCTACCAAGATCATCTCTGATTCCATCCACGAGTCACTGATAGGTAGCACTTTTAACTAAGTGGATTGTTTTAATATTTAAAAAGTAAAGAATAACTTATATTTTTATGTATGTTTCTTCACAAAACTATATTCATACAATCGAATATTTTGTACCAGGTATGTATAATTGTATATCATTCACACATTTTATTTTAACAAGTAAGTTTTCATAATTTTATTTTTAATTTTAGTCCTTATATTATAGCTAGCAATTTAGAATGTAATTGATATTGAAAATTCATTTTAAAAAGTTTTGGCTGGAGACTTTATAATGAAAAAGAAAACATTATTAAAAGAGAAAGACCAATGTCTAAATTAAATATAAACACTTCAATAAAAATTTGAAGATATAAAATGGCTCTGTGGATGCATAAAAATGCAAAAATTGTTTTGTTGACCTTGCCTACTATTTTCAAATAAAATTAGTGTGTGGAACGAGATTGGCTTTGACGATTTAAATAATTTTAGTAAAGCTGGCAAAAGACATGAAAATCCTAAATCTTGCATCGAATCTTTCATAAAATTGAAGCAATTTGGAAATCAAAATAGAATAGAATTTAACATTAGTACACAATATAAAATAAATATTGAAAATTATAACAAAATAGTTACGGCTAATAGATATATTATATTTTAATTAGTAGATGTTATCGAAGCGAGAATTGGCATTTAGAGGGCTAGAGAATCTATTAAATCTAATATAACAGAGGTAATTATATTGAACTTGCTTATTTATTAAGTGCGTTAGATAATCTATTAATTAAAAATACATTTAGAGAAGTCTACGGTTTTTACTGGCTTATCGAAAATGGACCCTAGACCATCACTGACTGATTGCCCCTGGAAGTTGGCTTGTTACAAAAACACAGCTTTCCTGTCATCAAATGTGACCGCACACCCCTGCGATACAGATACAAATATTTTAGATAATAAGGGTTGTCAAGCCTCCTGACATGGAATAAGTGAGATTGGTCACCGGAAAAGTGTTGTTAGACTGGATGTTGCTTTTTGGAGAGATTAGTAAAAAGGCAGTTGGATTAATGTAACCGGTTGTGTAACAAAAGAACAAAGAGTGCACAAAGATTACACACAGTCTTTACTCATGGAAGGTCAGCACTAGAAAGGGGGAGAGTGAAACGAGATCACCTTGCCCAAGGGGTCAAGAGCGCCACCAACCTTTTATTATGTCAGAACATTACAAAACATCGCAATCGTTGATTCCAACAGAAAGCAGGCCTGTGGGCGCAATAAACAGAACAGGAAAACTGTTGGGATTATGTCGTGTAATCATATTGACGCTGTCTTTCAGTTTTAATGTGCAAGTATACCGGACAATCTTTATTCATAGAGTTGTGATCAGTCTTTGAATGTTTACCCTTTTTACAATTGGTGAAAACTGGAGTCTCTCCCTTTTTGAGGCATGTCTTAAGAAGGTGGGCCCCCCACATGGCTAGAGGTACACTCTGAGGCCTCACAATTGCTAGCATAATGGCCAAAGGAAAGGCATTTATAGCATTGGACCACAGGGATATAATCGTATACTAGGCAACATTTCCATTCGATGTTAATCCTCTTTTCTTTTAGCATGATGCACCTTAGATCAGGAGCAAGCTCCAAGACCCATGACATACAGTCAGCATCTTTCTGTCGTGTAGCAAACCTTACAGTCGCCTTCTGAAGAAATTCCACTTGAGTATAGGCATATATTCTGGTTGTAAATGTAATTTAATAAGTTTTCCTTAGTTATACACTTTGGGATTGATGCAATTTTTATGAGAGGCTTTCTCTTATTTGCAACTTTAGAGTTCAGACCAGGCACTTTGCTGATGACTTCTTTGAAATGCTATGCATCCTCCAAACAGGGGATATCAACTGCCACCCATCCAGCCTTTATTTTCTTTATGTGCTTAATGCCTATACCCAAGTTCCTGCAGCATTACACTTTTTGTTAGCAACTCTCTGGTTTCTTCTGATGTTTTCTCAGGTTTGTCACTATATACAAGGTGTGACAATCAAATTCCAGGACTGGGGTAATAAAAGGACACAAAGAACATATAATGAAAAACCCTTTTAATATGTTTCAAAGTAATTTCCCTGGAGGGCAATGCACTTCTCGCAATGCTTGCACAAGTTCTTGAAACTCTCAGCAAAGTCACTTCCGCTGACAGCTCTCAATTCCTTGGTCACATTGCGCTGTATGTTCTCCAGGTCGTCAAATCTTCATTCCTTCAATGTGATCTTGATTTTCGGAAACAAAAAATAGTCACAAGGCAACAAATCTGGTGAGTATGGAGGGTGGTTCAACTCCATAATGCCACGTTGGGCCAAAACTCCTTCACAACAGTTGCAGTGTGCGGGCGGGCATTGTCGTGCAGCAGTACCCAGCTTCCTCTTGCTGCAAACTGAAGCCTAACCAGATGAGTTGTCTCCAGATTGATACCAGTTGTCTCTGCTATCATCTGAATAGACATTCGATGGACATATCACAGCAGGTCTCTGATTTTTTTGATATTTTCTGGTGTTCGAACTGATTGAGGTCATCCAGGGTGAGCATCGTCCTCAAGGTCTTTCCGACCATTCCTGAAATGCGCACTTGAAAACATGAGAGTGGGATAGGGCATCATTCCCATAAACTTGCTTGATGAGGACATACGTCTCTGTTGCACTTTTACCCAACTTGTAACCCACTTTTACCCAACTTTTGTTTAAAAAATTATTAATTTCATTACATATAAACATATATTTGATTAAAATATATAAATTTATTTCAATATGTAAAAATAACTTAGTAATTTTAATGAAAATTAAAATTTTATATTGATGATAAAAATTAAGTTTTGATTTTTTAAGCATTTACATGAAGCTGCTGAGAAGAGGAAGGAATTGGAAAAACAACATACAGATGCCTTGAATGAACTTAAACAGCAACAAGATAATGTAAAGTTATCAAGTACAGAATCAGAGAAGCAACAAGCTCTTGAAACTGTAAAATCTTTAGAGGTAAGTGAATAATAATATGTGTATTTTTAAATAATTAGAGAATATTTTAGCAATATGGTTTACTTTAAATGTTTTATTCTAACATGACAAAAGTGATATTTGTAACTTATCTTTTATATACATTATTTAATAGTGACTAATCTTAAAAGAAAACACATTGCTTTACATAAGAACAGAAAATTTTCTTGAATTTTAAGCCTGTTCAATTTCTTCTATAAAAATAGATTTATCTCCTTAATAGTTAAATGTTACTTGAAAAAGTCAGAGGAAGCCTGTATTAGTTTTATTGAGTTTTAATAAAATTTGTAATAAAAATATCTTTATCATTATGAACAAATAACTTTTATTTCACTTATAGATTGAATGTTAGATTTTCAAAAATTTAATGTAAAATTAATTACCATAACATTTAAATGAAAGCCTTTTATAAAAGTTAACTGGAAAAGCATAGTTACCAGAGTACAAGGTTTTTACTTATTTTATAAAGTTTTATATGTATTATATTAGCAATATACTAATATAATAATATACTAGGAATGAATTACTAGTATATTATTATATTATATATTGTCATGTAAATATATATATATATAACATACTTGATAGGATTGAATGAAAAATAATGGAAATGTGTACCATATTAAAATGACCTATATTACCAATGCAAAATTTCCTACAAACCTTCAATATGATCATCAGCCAATTCTTCCATCAAATCTCTGGCAGATGCTGGATGCCATCTATAGATTGATTTTAGTTGTTATGTGCAATTGGTCATTTTATAGCTCATTTGATTCAGGAACTATTCTATTCTCAGCACCGGGATGAAAATAATGTCACACTATCGGAACCTGTGACTGGTGCTCTATGCGTATACGTTAAATATCGCTTGACAAACGTTTTCAAGCGGGGAATTCTTTCAGTTGACCTGAAGAAGAGCGAACAGAACGCTCGAAAACGTTTGTCAAGCGATATTTAACGTATATGCATAGAGCACCGGTTACAGGTTCCGATAGTGTGACGTTACTCATTTGATTCATTCATATTTTTTAAAAAACTGTCTTTTTAATCCCAAAGAAAAAGTTAAAATCACAGACTCATGTTCAAGCAGTGCTAGAGGTGGGCACTACAGGAAGTTGTCTGCGATGCCAAATCATAAAGTTGCTTTTCTGCTCTTGACTTGAACAAGATAATGAACTTCTTTCTTCAAGATAGTATAGCTTATATAGAAATTTCTCAGGAAAAATTTAATAATAAACCATATCAGGAAAATCTAAGTGTTTAGCTCTTTCTGATTGTCTAGCCATCCTCCAATGCCTTCATTGTATGCCTAGCAATTGTTCTCTTCAGTCACAGTGTTTTTAAATGTTTTTCTTAAGTTCATTTGCCAGAGCCAACATGAATCCATGCTAATGAGGATGTTTTCCATTGCCATATTTTTACATGGTGGATACTTTATGTGATACATAAAAGCATACGTTGTTGTGCAACAGATGTGGAAAAATGCTGCTAATCAGTTGGAAATACTTCTTCCTATGGTAGACAAATATGATGCTCAAAAAACTGCAGTAGTACAGTATATTGATGATTTGACTTTCTGCATAGCATGACTGAGGATGACACATTGTATATTGTAAACAATAATCAACAAGAGTTTGACCTGATTGGGCTCTTTGTGAAGTTTCTTGGTAAAGGGTGATCCTTGATGGTGGATTACTGTTTCAGTTCAGGCTCATATGTTCATGCTTAAATTTTGTCAGTAGAGATGAAGCTGGGTAATTGTGTATCAATACCATTTTTGCATCTCAATGAGATATGCAAACATCTATAGGTCAATAATGCCAACTTGCTAACAAACCTGTTTCATCCTTACTTCCAACTATCATAATCTGTAGTCTGTCCACTGCCAGTAGTGACTTCACAAGCTGTAACTCATTAATGTGCAGTGACATTTGATCATCGGGAAGTTCTGTTTCTATAAAAATTTTAAACAAATACTGGAAATGACAAAAATAAACAGTTTACTTATTTAAATTCTAAAATAGATGTATTGACATGAAACATAAACTAACTCTGTTCAGCAATTTTTTTCTGCAAAGTCGTTAATTACTTTATCATAAAAATCACTTGTTGTTGATTCCATCAAAGTATTTATAAGCTCTTTTTCTATTGAAAGCAATGCTAGTGATGACAATCTTTCCTCTAACTGAGTGTTCCTTGCAAATGTATGAATTGGCTTCATGGTTGAAAAACTGTGCTCAACAGAAGCGCTCATAGATGGTACTGTAAAAGTTAATGATATTAAATCATATAATTCTTTTAGTACATCTTTGTTCAGATTGCCATTAATTATAATGTTTTATGTCTAAGAGTGACTTGCCAATATGGTCTGGACATGAATATAAATATTGCAATTTACTATGTAATTTACATAAATCAAAAAATTCTCCATAAAATTTACTTAATTTAAAGAATTAAAACTCACTCAGGAAAATTGTTTTCCATAATATTTAAAATTATTAACATCTAAAAGTGATAAAAATTCTAAAGATTTTATGCCTGAAAATCTATCAATATAGTTATAATTAAATACAGCTTTGTAAAGAAACGTACATAAAAATAACATTGAATATTCTTTATTTTTTAAATCTTAAAACAATCCACTTAGTCAAATCGCTCCCTATGAGCGGCTAATGAATAGAATCATTGGAAGTTATATATGACCAGTCAAAAGGCCCAATGCAGGCATCAGAGCATACTAAAATATAAAATAATTTATATTGTTAATTTAAATTAATTTAAATAATAGCTAGGGGCACCCCTAGTGGCCATTTTTGGCATACAGTGACAGAAAGCAAGAAAGAATCCAGTTTTTTAGCTTTATATAGTATGATATTTTGATGTGTAGCATCCACGAGCTAAAGCACGAGAGGTTGGTTCTCTGTAAAGCAAATGCCTGTAATCTGGCTGCTTTATATGATTCAAATATTTTCCCCATGAAAGCTGTTCCGCATTTGACAGTATAGCACTTCCATTGGGAATATGCATATTCAAATTTATATTCGAATATACAATAGCAATCTTATCACTGTTTTTCACATGTATAGAAATTTGTAATAAAATACATAATGCAGTTATAATAAAATATTAATTTTAAGTATTTCAAAGTATGTTAAAATATGAAAATAAGCATACAATATGTATTTATATTTTAGAAAATACAAGGGAAGATAAAGGGGGTCATTTGTTGTATTTTGAGTGGGATTGGACTTAATGAAGATTTTACTCATTATTAGCATTTACAATTTTTTTTTATAAAACTCATTTTTATCCACAAAATTAAGTCATTCAGTTAATATACAAAATTTGCCACTACAAAATAAGCAAAATGCTTAATAACTAAAAGTGCCCAGGATTTTCAGTTACTGCGTGTTTTGTTGAAGGTAGCATAACTAAATTTTTTTCAAATAAACAGCGCACACTAATTTTTTTCCATGATTTTTTGGAAAAAGTACATAGATGATTTGAATAAATATATTACTTTTTAATATAGTTTGGTTGCTGTTTATTCAATTTCTATGTATAACGTCCTTTTAATCCAAAGAATTTTTATTGGTAGACAGTCTCACAGCTTTTTGGTCAGGAAATTATGGTTTTACTTTGAAAAAGTTTGAACTATAAGTGCATTTTGGGTTGGTTTAAGTTTCCAACCCCTCTTCAGTGTTGTTAAAAAAATATACAAATTGAAATAAAGGACACAACATTATTTAAATATCACATAAAAAGATTGAAAAATAATGGAAATGTGTACCATATTAAAATGACCTATATTACCAATGCAAAATTTCCTACAAACCTTCAATATGATCATCAGCCAATTCTTCCATCAAATCTCTGGCAGATGCTGGATGCCATCTATAGATTGATTTTAGTTGTTATGTGCAATTGGTCATTTTATAGCTCATTTGATTCAGGAACTATTCTATTCTCAGCACCGGGATGAAAATAATGTCACACTATCGGAACCTGTGACTGGTGCTCTATGCGTATACGTTAAATATCGCTTGACAAACGTTTTCAAGCGGGGAATTCTTTCAGTTGACCTGAAGAAGAGCGAACAGAACGCTCGAAAACGTTTGTCAAGCGATATTTAACGTATATGCATAGAGCACCGGTTACAGGTTCCGATAGTGTGACGTTACTCATTTGATTCATTCATATTTTTTAAAAAACTGTCTTTTTAATCCCAAAGAAAAAGTTAAAATCACAGACTCATGTTCAAGCAGTGCTAGAGGTGGGCACTACAGGAAGTTGTCTGCGATGCCAAATCATAAAGTTGCTTTTCTGCTCTTGACTTGAACANTTATATATAGAAATATTACTTTTTATTTGTAATTAGTCATAATATGTCTTTAAGATTTTCATACATTTCCATTATACAAAAGCATTTCAGTATTATATTTTTATTCATATGGAAACTTTTCTGAAAAAACATTTAACTTGTAAAGAAATGCCAATAATTTTTTCTGTAAAAGAAGCAAAAAATGCTAGAAAGATGCAAAGCTTTTGTTTTAGTATTCTGTATAAAATACAGTTAAACTATAGGTATTTCAAATCTCTGTTTTTTCTGATAATGAAAGTAGGGTTTTTCCAAAAAGTTAAAATCAAAAGTAAATTTTTAAAGTATATATGAAGGAAAATGTAAGAAAATAATATATAAAGATTTTGTAAAATATTTTGATTCATATATTTAATATTAGATTTTTAATTAAGATTATTTATATTTTAAATTATTTAAAACTTTTTACAGTCAAAAGTTAGAGAATTACATAAAAAGTGTGAACTTCAAAATGTTCAGCATGAAGAACTGGTGCTGGAAATGGCAACCTTGCAGCGTGCACAAATTAAACATGCATGGCAGACTCAACGATGTCATTCAGCAGAGGTAACAACTAATATTATAATGTAGTCACTACCTTTTCAGTTTCAGTGAGAAGGATTTAACATGTAATTTGTTAGTTTATACTTTAAAATCTATATATATATATATATATATACATATACATATATACAGTGGAACCTCGGTATACGTCTGCTTTAGAATACGTCCAATTCGGAATACGTCCTGTTTGGACGAAACAAATTTTGCTCGGTATACGACTTAATTCAATTATACGCACCATCTATGAACAAGTAGCACTATCGGTGTACTACACTAGACTAGACGTTCGCGGTGCTACGGTTTATAACTTTGTTAAATTTCTTCTGATTTTAATTTGTAAGTAACATTTTATTATTTTTATTAATCATGAATTGCAAAAGGGCAACAGAAAAATAAAAAAATGACTAGAATCACAACGGAACTGAAAAAAGAGATTGTTGAGAAATATGAAGGTGGCACGCGTGTTCGAGATTTAACGAGATTTAACTGTTGCATTCCGTATTCCGAGAACGACGATATCGACAATCGTGAAAAATAAAGACATTATTAAATTTGCTAACGTTGCGAAAGGGGTTAAATCAATTTCTAAACAGAGATCGAAGACATTAGATCATGTCGAGAAATTGCTTTTGCTTTGGATAACTGAAAAACAGTGTGCCGGCGACAGCGTATCGGAAGAAATTATTTGCGAGAAAGTTAAAAGGATACATGCTGATCTCATGAAAAATCAAGCAGAAACTAGCCAGGAAAGCGAGGTGTTTAAAGCCAGCCATTTTTTTTACATGAGAATGGATTAATCATTTTTACATTACTTCTTATGGAAAAGGTTGGTTTGGTATACGTCCTATTCGGTATAAGTCCAAACACCAGGAACGGATTAAGGTCGTATACCGAGGTTTCACTGTATATATATATATATGTAAGATTGACATCATTGCTTTATAGAGGATTAAATAATGCTAAATTCTTATAAATAGCAAATGAATTTTTATCAGTACTTAGGATATTCCTTAATATGATTATTATTAATAATTTTTACACAAAATATTTAATTATTTGAAAATGTGTTAACTATATCAGCATTTCTTAAACTATAGATTAGAACTCAATATTGGGTTGCATTACAATTTTTAATTGGTTGTGAAATAATACTACCTTCAGCAGAAATACTTTATATTACTAAAGTATTCTCTAAAAGCTAAGAACAATAGATGCATCTGTTAAGTACTAAAAACTTTTAACAACATTTTTTCTTATAATTATTCTTGTCATTTAGTAATAAAGTTAAGATTATAGAATATAGTATGTGTGTATGAAATTGATTTCTCTTTTCTATTTTGATATTATTCAAAATAGAAAATCATTATATGTAAGGTTATAGTCATAAAGTGATTTAAGTTACAATGGTTTTGAAAATATTTCCTTGTTTATTCAAACTAGTGTTACCACCCATCCAGTTTTCACCCGGACAGTCCAGGAATTGACTCATTGTCCAGGTGAACTATTAATTTTGTCCGGGAATTTCATATAAATTGTGAAATTATGATGAAACAAAGTTCTTGCAAATATTGTTACAAATTTACACTATTTTAACAGTAAAAGAACTCACACTCACTGAAACTCATCTGCAATTCTGCCTTGTTAGTCTGTTTATGCTGACATGTGGCGCGCAACCTGTCAAACTTTTTTTTTTATTTATTGCATGTACTGTACAATCGTACACGTCTCTAATATCCAATAGAGCTAAGTTATCTGTACCCATTCTTTCTTAATTTAGGTTATGTACGTTACTCCTACACAGGTCCCTAGTCCCTAACTGTAACTGATTTAGAACCAGCATGCATGTTATTCTTTACATTGTAAAATGACATTGTGCATGTATCAGGAACTTCTGTTCGAACAAACCTGATGTGCCATCTGGGTCAGCGATTTTCAAAAGGTGGCAACACTAATTCATACTTTTAGGTTTATTGTCAATACATTACAATAAATTATAAAAAATAAATAATGGATGAATTTTGGCACAAATGAATCAATAAATGATTTTCTTTGCATGCATATGTACACCTATCCCTCAATTTGCATGGTACTCAATTTGCTTGGTTTCACTTTTACATGGTTTTTAAATGAAAACAAACAAAGTTTTTGAGACAGCTGTTGGTAGCCATTTGTGGGTTATTCTCATACAAATCTCAGGGGAAGACAGGTTTCTAGACAATGTGCATCAGTTACCATAAATACTCAAATACATCACGATTTTTTCGATCCAGTACACTATCTCTATAGATAAGGAAAAAAAAAATGGTCCAAAACATAAACTTCTATTGGGTGTAAAATTATGAAACTTGCTGAGGTCATAAACAACATTCAATAGAATGTAAATAAGCATTGTTTGAATTATTTTGAGCAATGAAATGTTACATACAATTATTTAAATTAGCCTGAGTTATCTCGGGTCTGGACAGTTCCTGTTAAGAAGAATAAGAAAGAAAACACTGAAGTGAATTTAAATAACAGGTGAAAAGAGTTTGTATTTTTAATAGTTTATTTCGTAATACTATTTTAATATTTTTATAGCCCTATAATATCAACAGAAAGAAAAAAAGATTCCCGAGCAAAGACAAACAATTAGTTTGGAAAAGAAAAGAATGATGTGACAGTTAGGACAATAAAGCAAATGGAAGATTCTATTTGAAAGAGTGTAGCCAGTGAAACTACTGTAGGCACAAAATTTTCTACATATAAATGAGATGATTTAATAGAAGCAGTAGAAAAAGCTTTAGTAATTTGGATAGAGGATAATAGTAAGAAAAAGTACCAGTGGATTCTAATTTGATAAGACACAAAGCGATTAATCTTTTTAGCTCTCTAAAAGAAAAGCAACAAACTCCATCCATTATAGAATTTAGTGCAAGCAAAGAATGGTTTAAAAACTTCAAAAAATGATACAATCTACATAACATTCAACTTAAAGGTGAAATTGCTTCTGGTGATAAAAAATCGGCAAAAGAATATCTGGCAAAACTGAAAAAAATTATTGAAGAAAACTCTTATGTTCCTGACCAGGTATTTAATGCCAATGAGACTGGCTTATTTTGGAAGAAAATGCTCAGAAGAACTTATTTGTCAAAATCTGAGAGATCAGCCAGGGGATTTAAAGCAGCCAAGCATAGGGTGACTTTACTTCTTTGTAGTAATGTGTCAGGCAATTGTGTTTTGAAACCTTTATTGATTAATAGATCTCAAAGACTGTGTGCAATGAAACAAAAGGATTTGGAAAAACTACCTGTGTATTGGCATTTCAATACAAAAAAGCCTGGATGACATGCACAATATTTGAAGATTGGTTCTATAATTGTTTTGTACCTGAAATAAAAAGTTATTTACAAGAAAAAACCTTGAGTTCAAAGTTCTATTGCTTCTAAACAATTCACCAAGTCATCCAATAGACTTGCAACATGCAAATGTACAAATTGAGTTTTTGCCTCCCAATACAATTTCGTTAATTCAACCTCAAGATCAGGAAATAATTTCTGTGTTTAAGGCTTACTACATTAGACGAACCTTTTCAGATGTTTTGAAAAATTTGGATGAAAATCCTTCACTTACTCTACCTGAAGTGTGGAAAAATTTTACAATTTTAAATTGTGTAACAAATGTAGCATCAGCCATTGCCAAAATAAAAATGTCAACATTAAATTCTTTCTGGAAAGTCATATAGCCTGAAGTAATAGTTGAAAAAAACATGAATTCAACTGAAAATGTTTATGCCAATATCATAGATATATCTCATTCTATTGGAGGTGAAGGATTTAATGATTTCGATATTCCAGATATTGAAGAGTTATTTGAGGATGAGGAAGTTTCAGATGTGGTTCTTGTGGACTTAGTACTACATCAAGTTCCCAAAAATACTAAAGATAGTAGTTCTGATGATGACAATAATGCAGCTGAAAAAATTTACCAGCAAAGTAATTTTTGAAGGACTTCGACTAGATAGAGAACTGCAAGCTTATTTTTTGGACAGAGATCCTGATACTGAGATAGCATTGAAATTTAAAAGAACACTAAAAAATGAGCTCAGTCAAAATGAAGAAATTTATAAGAATACCTGCCAAAGTAAGCAAATGCTGATCACTGATTTCGTACCATCTAAAAGTAAATCAATTTTTATTAACGAAGTGGAAAATGTAGCCAACATCTTAGTTAGTGAAGCAGTACCTATGGAAAACATTGATGAATTTTCTGTTAGTGACTTGGATAGTGATGTTATACCAGCCCTACCAAAGAAAAGGAGAATTCTAGCTTTACAAAGCTCTGAAGAAGTATTAAGGCTGATTTTTATTTCTATTTTTTAAATTGTAGTTATTATGAAGGTTATTTAAGTTTAAATTCTTTTATTGTTTTTATTTATACGCAACATTGTTAATATGTGTTTGTTTTTTTACTTATTTTTTTTATACCATACTCGATGTTAATTAATGTTTATGTTTTTGATTTTCAAAGATAAATTAAAAAGTACTGTACATATAAGCATTAAATTGCCTTTAAAAATTAATGAACTCATCCTTTTTTTCCCTTTAATCCTTATCTCATTTTATGTGGTTGTAAAGAACATATCCTTGACTTTCCCTTGCTTTCTTTAGATTGATTTACACAGTTTACAGTTTAATTGAATGTATCCTTCTATTTTGTATGAATTCAGTATCTCATTTTATATGGTTTTGGTTTGCACAATTTTTCTAGGAACATATCTACCGTGTAAATCAGTGTACAAAATGAAATTGACAAAATCTTAAAATCTGAAAACTATATTTTAAAAAAAGAGTTCATTAAGTTTATAAAAAAAACTTGTCATATTTTTAAAAGTAAAATAGTAAAATAGACTCCTGAATAATTTTGAATCTATCTGTTTTACTTATAATTGTCAGCCTTACACAAACATATATATAATATGTATATTTATTTTTATTATATATATAACAAAAATAAATAAATTTAACTTGTTATGTATATTTATCTACAGAAGATTCTTTTAAAGTACTTTTATAGAACAGAAAACTTAAATTAATCTACTTGTTTGATTAAATATGCTATATAAAGATTGATATAATTCATAACACTATATATCTATCAGAATTCTATATGTGATATAGAATCCTGATAGGGATTCATGAGCATACCTAAAATATTTGTCATTTTGTATGAGCCTTTTCTTTGGCAGCTCTATAATAAAATTACACTAGTTGGAAGATTTAATTTTAAGTTGAAATTATCATAAAAAAGAGCCCAATTTGCAATAAATTGTCTAACTTCATAACTTCTTAATCAACTAATCCCCTTACAAAATTATCTGAAATTTTATATCAGACAACTTTATCCTAGCATATCATCTTCTGAATTCTGTGCTCAGAACATCTCTGATGGATTTTTTCCATAAACTTTATCTTGGTGAATTTTTCTTCTAATTTATTAATATGTAATTTTAACACTCCTCCTCCTCCTGACTGTCACTTGGAACATACTTGTCATATTCTTAGGAGGTCATATTTGAATTAGATCTTTGTTTAATTTTATTTTAACTGATAAGTTTAAAATATACAAAATAAAAATATTGTATAATAGCTTAACATTAAGAAATTTAGCAAATTTTTTAAACTTCATTTCACTTTAAGAACTTTAATCTATCTACAGAAAGAGTTAAATCATAAAATACTTTCATTATTCTGACAATAAAGAACAAAAAAAAATTAACAAAAGAAAAAAAAAGAATTTGAATTTAGTGTCAATTCTTCATAAGAATTTTTTAAAAATCTTTTAAATCTTAAAATATTTAAGATTTAAGAAATAATATTTAATATAATATTTAATATTTAAGAAAGATTTAAAATTCAGAATTTTACAACTAAATTAAAATTCTTGGGTAAATTTGTTTATTAATGTATCTTTTATACTTCAAACTGATTATTTTTCAAAAAATGTTTATTTTTGTTATATTTACTCAAATTATGTTCCTGAGATTTCTTGTTCTGTATGATAGTATTTTAATAATTATTTGAATAACTGTTTTTTAATAGGCTTATCCCTTTATGGAAACAGTTATTTAACAGTTACCTTTAGTTCTTTACTGACAAATATAAATTTTTAATGTTTTTTTAAATTAGTTTTTTAAAATTTGAATTACATTATTAATTCATTTTATGAAATGAAATAACTTTATGATAATAAGTTGAATATTTAATTATGAATAATGAATAAACTTACTGGTATATTATATTATTTTTTAACATCTTATATTTAAAATTTTAATTAATTTATTGTAATAATTTATGTGTTTTAGACCCCAGGAGAAAAACGCAGCCATGTTGAACAGAATATTGATATGATATTGCCTACATCAGACACATTATTTACTTCAACTCAATTGCCATTGTTTTCATCAATAGGAGGTAGTCTATGTTCATCTCTTGGATCTACATCTGAAGTTTATTCTAAATTTAATGATATAAATTCTTTAGGTATGTATCCTAATAAAAATTTAGATTAAAAATAAAATTTATAGTAGGGTATTTTACATTCTAGGTTTTATGTATATTATACTAGAGTACTTATATCACTTCATTAATGTATTGGGAAATTATTTAAAAAACAATTAGAAAATATTACAAAAAGTGTTATGACAGAATCCAATTTACATGTCTGTCACAGCATTGACACTCCTAAAGAGCATGCATCCCAAAAGTACTTGGGATTAAAAGAGATATTTTTGATTTTGGTCTTCAAGAAAGCAGAGAAGTATGCAAATAAATTTCAAATGATTAAAAATTTATTAATCTAATTAAAATGAATAAAATAATCAAACCACTATAAGTGCTGCCTTGTACTTTGAATTTAATTCATCCAGGAGGTTGTTTGAAATCCGAAGCAATTTTTCCCATTATAAATAATGTAAATTTAATTAATTCATTCATAGATCCTAAACAATACCCATCTTGATAAAGTCAAAACAGCAAATACACATAATTTAAAATAAAAATAACACAATTATATGCCCTAATAATAAATTAAAACACAAATACAATAAATAAAATACACAAATACTGTATAATAAAATGAAAATTGCATTTACTAGTTGCACACCATCAACTTTGGTATCTTAAACATGGCCACCAGATCNAAAAATACTAGAAGCTTGAATTTGTAATCATTTTAAAATTTTCAATTGACATAAATACAAGCTGATTATTTTCTTGTATATGCTGATTATTTTCTGAAACAAAATTTCAGTAAAAAAGTATCAAGGTTATTTTTATTAACTACACATACATATAAAGTTTTCTTAATTGCTTTTGTATTATTTTTTTTTATCATACATTAAATCATAAATTATAATTCTTAAAATTTTAATGAATTTATTGTAATTTAGAAACATGTCACCCCAGTCAGTTTAAATGTAGAAATGGACAATGTAATAATTTATGTGTTTTAGACCCCAGGAGAAAAACGCAGCCATGTTGAACAGAATATTGATATGATATTGCCTACATCAGACACATTATTTACTTCAACTCAATTGCCATTGTTTTCATCAATAGGAGGTAGTCTATGTTCATCTCTTGGATCTACATCTGAAGTTTATTCTAAATTTAATGATATAAATTCTTTAGGTATGTATCCTAATAAAAATTTAGATTAAAAATAAAATTTATAGTAGGGTATTTTACATTCTAGGTTTTATGTATATTATACTAGAGTACTTATATCACTTCATTAATGTATTGGGAAATTATTTAAAAAACAATTAGAAAATATTACAAAAAGTGTTATGACAGAATCCAATTTACATGTCTGTCACAGCATTGACACTCCTAAAGAGCATGCATCCCAAAAGTACTTGGGATTAAAAGAGATATTTTTGATTTTGGTCTTCAAGAAAGCAGAGAAGTATGCAAATAAATTTCAAATGATTAAAAATTTATTAATCTAATTAAAATGAATAAAATAATCAAACCACTATAAGTGCTGCCTTGTACTTTGAATTTAATTCATCCAGGAGGTTGTTTGAAATCCGAAGCAATTTTTCCCATTATAAATAATGTAAATTTAATTAATTCATTCATAGATCCTAAACAATACCCATCTTGATAAAGTCAAAACAGCAAATACACATAATTTAAAATAAAAATAACACAATTATATGCCCTAATAATAAATTAAAACACAAATACAATAAATAAAATACACAAATACTGTATAATAAAATGAAAATTGCATTTACTAGTTGCACACCATCAACTTTGGTATCTTAAACATGGCCACCAGATCTGTCACACCAGTACTGTACTTCAAACTTCGTGATAACGAAGCTTGAAAGCAGTACAGGTGTGACGGATCTGGTTCCTTTTTCATCTTAGCCTTTTTCAAGCCTTTCTCTTACTAGTTAGACTTTGTTGCTTCCATACACTTCTTGGTTGCCATGATTAATAAGTAAAGGTTATACTTGATTGAACAGGAAGATTTTGCTTATTTTTAACAGTTGTTATTTTACATAATGTGTTATTTAATTATAATACTTGTGAATTTTAACACACTATTACTAATTTGAGATTATATTCTTTGTTCAGAAGCTTATTTTGCACTTCTGTGAACATTTCATTTTTTGTGCAATTGGAACTCTGAAGCAAATTTTTGTTGTATTTGGTGTTCAAACTCTGACGTGTTTGAAGTTATTCATTTAAAGTTTGAGATTTTGCTGTATTTAAATTTTACAAATGTTTCTAAGATTTTTTTTTCAGTATCATCTATAATATTACAATATAGCATTTGTTATAGTGGGAAACTGGTGAAATTTCAAAACTACAATATAAGAGATATCATGAATATCAGCAGTCATAAGAAATTTAATTAAAAAAAGAGATATCATGTCAAATTGTGAATGAGTTTTGATTAAATTGTTTATCAAAATCTATTTATTCAATATGTATATATCTTATGATTTTTATTCATCATTTGATATATCTGCATAAAAATATTGATTAATAATTTAAAAGGTGGTCTATCTTAAATAAGTATATAATACTTTTAATAAGTAGAGTCATATTTTTATAATATTTACTAAATTTTTTATTTTATTATATATACTTTTCAGTTACACAGTCAATAAGTAGTACAATAGCAAGAATAACTAATACTTCACCCACATCAGCTGCTCTCTTCAAAACAACATCAAATGAAATTAATAACATTTTAGCACGTATTGAACAAGATAACCGTATGTTGTTAGAATTAGAGAAATCTCGTACTACTGTTGGTGAGTTTATTTAATGATTAAAAATTTCTTCTTTATAAATATGAATTAAATTAATCAAATTAAATACTTTAGGCTCTCCTGTTCCACCAGCTAACATAACAAGATTAAAATCACAAGTTAGAGAAGACAGTAGTACTCAAACTGAAGAAGTTTCTCAGAGTAAAACTATAAGTAAGTATTTATATTGATCACATAAAATATAATTTCTAATTGAAATATTGAATATTTATTTATAATTACATTCATTTATTGATTGTTTTCATATTATTAATAGTGATTGCAAAAATTGACAAATGTAGTGGCATATGGAACATTTCCTTTATATGAATTGAAGTTGGATATATATTTTCTGGTTATAAAAGATTAAAGTAATTGTACTGTACATATCTATTCTTTGGATACACATTATTAAATATGTTGTAAATTTTACTTATTTAAAATTATAATTCTTTTTCTTGAAATTAAAATTGTGATAATTGAAAAACATAAACAAATACTTTTTAAATTCCCTCATATTTCATAAATGCTGTACAAGTAGTTAAAATTAAACTTATGTCAGTTATGTTTATGTTGCAAAAATAAACATTCATAATTCACTAATATTAGCAAATTGAGTAAACCTTTTGGCAGCATATTTTTCATTATTTCATTTTTCAAACATTTTATGATTGAAGCTGGCCTAAGACAGGCTGAAAGCAGTTTTTTTAATAAAAATTTTGACTACCTGAAAAAGCAGTTTATATTTATATTTCTCATTAATATTAATTTTTTAATATAGTATCAATATATTATGAATGATGTTTTTACTATTTGCATTTTTATTAATCCTGCACATATTAATCTGTTAATTTTGAGCCTCCTTTAAGATGTAAATAAATTGAAACTATATGAGTAACGATATCTTTATTGGATAGTCTGATTAATAATTTTTGAAATTAATTTTTTAAACATATCAAAATTTTGTTCTCTACTGCAATGTTTCTTATAGAAACATATAAATTAAATACACTAATAGTTCATGAATAATGTGTAAAAAGTATTATTCACTCTTATTATTAAAAAATGAGCTTTGAAAATTTAATTGTTTTGGACTATTTTCAGAATCTTAATGAGTTATTCATCTATGATATATCATGATACAGAAAAGTTTAAATTATTATTTCTCTTCTCTCTTTCTCAAATCATTCGTTTTATTAGATCTTGATATAAAAATAAATTTAATTTATTACAGTTATCAATATTTTATTGCACTAAATGCTTAGTGTGAAAATTTTCATTTATTTTCAGAAAATGCTTTTTCTTTTAAAAAGTCCAGTTTAAAATAATTGAAACAACAAATTAAAATGAATATATAAATATACACGAGCTTTTGTTTTAGTAAATTTCAATATTTTCTTATTTATGGCTCGATATTATAGGTTTCATTGTAGAAACTCTACGATGTATCTGTTAATTAATCTTCTAGCTGGTGTATAAGTGTTCATATTCAGTTTTATTTCTTTAATCTGTTTTATAGTGGTAAATAAATAAAATGATTTCTTTTATCTGATGAATAATAATTACCTTCAGTTTTATAAAATAATTATTTTAACTTAAATTGTAACTTAGCACAAAAAAGTAACTCCACTACTAACTCAGATACTATCAGATTTATTCACTACTCTTCTGGAGTTCTTATTCCTGACACTGGTTTCTAAAACCCATTTCTGAAGATAGTTATAGGAATCCAAAAGTACTAAGAATAATGAGAAATGTAAACTTTACAAAAGCAATAATATTTATATATGCTTAAAAGCAATGAATATTTAAATATGTAATTCTCATAGTCTTTTATAAGTTGTAGCTTCATAATTGATTTTTAATTCTTTGTCTTATTTTTTATAAATTTAGGTATTTTTAGATGCTAAGAATTGAATAATTCTGTGCTTTTGGCATATCAAAATTGATTTCTTTGCAAAATTTTAAAAATCAAAAATATCGATAATATCAAAAATGGTTGACAGCAGTATAATTTAACAAAATTTGACAAATTGATAGTAGTGTAAAATAATGTTTTTTATTCATATGAAATTTTAATGTGGAGATTTAATCATGGGAATGAAATTTTTATATTAATAATTTTAAATATTTGCTTTTTTCATATAACGTATTTTATGTATAATATGTACTCAGGATAATTTACTAACTTAAGTCTTTGTTTTAATTTTATAAATTTAAAATTAATAAGTAAAATGTAACAAAATATTTAAAAAAATAAGTTATTATTGAATTTTATTAAATTATTTAAATTATTTGAGAAACAGTAGTTATAAATTACAAAATAATTGTTAAAATTTTATATAATATATATAATATTTTTTAAATTGCTTAAAGTGTTAGAAAGTTGCTGTTATATCATATATAAAATAATAATTTGTTCAACTTGAAAATCCTTTTGTATTTTTAAGATTTAAAATAGTTAATAATTAATATTAAATTGAAAATATTTTGTAATCAAAATAATTTTGATTCTTTTAAAATAAGCAGTTCTGTGATATATAGGTAATACAATAATATCTATCATACTTTAAATCTATTATATTAAAAAAAAATGGAAAAATGATTGCTTTAAGAAGAAAAGATTTAGATGCATATTTTGAATAAAAACAAATACATTAAAATAAATATTATAATAAATACAAGAATATAAAATAATAAAACTAAAAATTTAATATAGTTAATACTAAAACAAAATTGTTAAAATATTTTTTGTATGTTGTAATTTAGAACCATCAGCTACAATAAAAGAATTAGATAAGCTAATGGAAAAATTAGAACAAGATAATAAAATACTTGCAGAACTAGATAAGAAAAGAGCTAATATAGGTATGTACACATTTCATTATCATTTATTTTAAATAAAGTTTAATAATATATATATTAACCATATAAATTTTTTAGTTCAATTTTAATTCAAATATTTCATAGCCATAATTTTAAACAAAATTTTTGGTGAGTTTTTAATTATATGTTTAGTCTGCACACATTATTTTAAACAACTTAAATTTTCTGTTGTTGATAAATAGTATGAAAATGACTATATTATAGAGAAAAATATTTTGGTTTGTTTCATCTTGAAAAAAATTCTTGTAGATGTCAATATGTGTGATGTAATATCAATAGCAATATGAAATATTCTAGTGTTAATAGCAAATTATTTAAATTTTATGTAAAAATATAATGTACAATAACAAAATAGGATACACATATTCCATTACTGTGCATTAGTCTGATCTATTAAAGCATTAATAAAAATGCTTATATTTTCTTTATTATTGGACTGCTAATAAAAGGTTAATAAAATGTTATTACTTATATTTGAATTAAGAAATCATAAAAAAGGAATTAAATTATGCATTAATAATCAAAGAATTTTAAATGAATAAGTATTTAATATATTCCAATTACAATATATCCAATTACAGTATTATTATTATTGCACACTAAAACTTTTATGGTCAAATTCTCATTTAAATCATATATGATAAGATTTGTCAAATATTTAAATGCATAAATGGTGCATATAGATTGCATAAAAAATATTATATAATTATCATGATTTTCAGTATATAATCCTAACTGGTGTATACCTTGTAAAAAATTGTTAGAATGCAAAAAAAAGTTTTTATATAACCTACACCATTGTATATTTCACACCTCTGAAATGCTGATGAAATCATGACACTTAACTGGTACACAATTTTGAAGATACAGTCTCAAATATTCTATATTTCTTCAATTTTGTTTCTGTTAGCAATTCATTGTTGATATAAAAGTTATAAAATAAGTGAAACAGAAAAAATGGAATATTTCAGACAGAATCACTTAAAGTGCATTAAATGTCAAAAGTACAAAATGGGCAATAAAGAAACAAATTTTTTATTGTTTTGTTTTCTTTATGTTTTTCTTATCAGATAATATTAATTAAATATATAATTATAATAAATGTTAAAATAAACTCTAAAAAATTAAATAGAAAAAAATTCTTGTTTATATCCGATGACTATAATATCTTAAGGTTCAAGAGTAGATTGCTTAGCCATTATTTGCTGTAAATAACTAATGTAAGGTAAAATTGACAGTAGTTTTTTTAGATCTATTATATAGAGGGAAAATTAGTGCAAATTTATCAGCTTTTAAGATACATGTTCAAATAGGTTTGTTTAATAACATTAGTGTGATTTGATGTACAAAAAATTGTAGCATAACCTGCGCCCACTTCAAATTGACTATTAACGCTAGTTATTTACAGGAATTTATAGTAGATGTAAATATATTTTTAAATATCTTGCAATTATTATTGTTTGAATTGTTAAAAATTTATTTTTATGATGAATTTATTATTTTTTATTTTACTACATTTAAACAAAATGCTAAAGTTTTAAACTTGTTATTTTTTTAAAGGATCATCTTCTGCCATCTTATCATCTTTACCTGAAATAGGCTCTTTCAAGAAAACTAAAGAAAGAGGTTTTGTGTTTTATTTATCCTGTTTTTATTAAATAATCAAGATAATTATTTTTACAAACATAACTTCTTTAAACATTATTATTATAGAATCATTAGAAGAATTTTTAGATGATAATTCAGTTGATACTATATATTTACCTGGTAAAGGCCATTGCAAAATATATATTGCTCGTTATACTTATGATCCTTTAAAACAATCTCCAAATGAAAATCCTGAAGCTGAATTACATCTTAATTCTGGTGATTTTCTAGTTGTTTATGGAAAAATGGATGAGGTAAGAAATTTTTTTTTTAATATATTAAATGAAATATTTAATTTCCAATTTTTTTGAATTGTTTATATATTTTTTACTTTAATATCAACATTTTTTATTTTTATTTTCATATAATAAAAAAAATGAAAAATAGTAATTTTAATTATAAAAAGGAAACCTAAAGTAAATAACTTCATAATTTATGCTATTTTTATTGAATTATTTTATTAAATTAGTTTTGTTATTTACAGTAATATTAGCATTTATATTAATCATCATAGTTGTCCAAAAAAACAGTTTTTATAAAAACTACGCTTAATTTATCTTATTAAAATATTTAATGATGACAGCATAAAACCAATGTGAAATTTTGAATTCACAAAAGCTTGTAAATGAGGAGACAGTACTTAAAACCAATAAATAACTTCATAATTTATGCTATTTTTATTGAATTATTTTATTAAATTAGTTTTGTTATTTACAGTAATATTAGCATTTATATTAATCATCATAGTTGTCCAAAAAAACAGTTTTTATAAAAACTACGCTTAATTTATCTTATTAAAATATTTAATGATGACAGCATAAAACCAATGTGAAATTTTGAATTCACAAAAGCTTGTAAATGAGGAGACAGTACTTAAAACCAATAAATAAACAACTTTTAATATCAAAAGGAAACATGAATGATAATTGATCTGTCCATCTGTTGTGCTTTTAAAAATTGGGGAACCAAAAAAAAAAAACCATGATATATCCGAATCTGCATTACAACTATTGGCTACTGTGTTATATTTATTTGCAGTTTTTTAAAATGGTTATTCTGTAATGGATCTTTATTTAAATACACATTGTTTGGCTGCAATTTAAAAAAATTGTAGACCTATAAATTCTTACTGTCTTCCATCTGTCTGTCTGTCTCTCCTTCTTCCATCTTGAGAACTCTGTTAAATAGATGAAAGTTGAGACCACATATTGAAATCTTAGTGATAAGAGGCCCTGATTAATTATATATGAACTTCTGATCTAGACTGGAAGTGACATAATTTCAAAAATCAAAAATTTTCCCTGAACATAGTTATGTAGCTGATCGGCATGACTCTATTGTTATCAGGAAAAGTTTGACACTTTTCGATCTCAAATTAGTAGTGTCTTGCTTCTGTATATCTGATTAAAAATTGTAGCCTAGTGTTGTGATGATGTCACAATAATTTTTGCTCATTAAATGTTAATTTGTCAAAATTTGAATGTATTGAAAATAAATTTAACAACTACTATGTTTTCTGGTAAAGTACATATCTTAGATTGTAATTATAATTAATGTTTTTTAATTATTTGTGAACATGCTTATTTTTAATATTTAAAATTTTATTATTTTAACATTTATATTTGTATTTTTAGGATGGATTTTTTAATGGTGAACTCTTAGATGGCAAAAAAGGTTTAGTTCCTTCAAACTTTGTTGAACGATTAACAGGTAAATTCATAATCTTTCATTAAATGAAATAAATTTAATTTAATGATGAGCTATAATTAAGAATTTATCATTGTAAAACTTCAGAATAAATTTAATTTATGCTATATTTTATTTTAAGGGGAGGATCTTCTTGATTTTCAAGCTGCTCTTCTCTATGGTACAGTTGGAGAAGACAATAGTCTTTCTTATATCTTTGATAGAGATGTTGAAAATAATAGTAGATATGTTTTATTACCTGGTAAGAAAAATGTGTTATATTTATGTAATTATTGTAAAAATATAAAATTTTTAGACCTTTATTATCTTATTATAATAATTTTTATATTTATTATGAATGATTATTCTAGAGGATTTTCATAGAATGAATGATTACATTGACTTAGAAGATATTGAAGAATTAGATGAAGATGATCTTTCTGATTTTGAAGGGGAAGGATCAGGTTGGTATTTTTAAAATAATCATCATACAATATTTTATTTTAATTTGGGTAATAAATTGTTTCTTGATTGGAATAGTTTGATGTTGCAAGTAAACAGTATCATCTTTGGTAATCAATTTAATAATTAGAGAAATTTTATAATCATAAAGATTTACAAAATCTAGAGAAGAATATGTTAAATTGGGTTTTAAGGACATTACCATTTATGACATATATCATTCAAATCACACAAAGTTTGCTCTTTCTAGATTATTTAAATTTTGAATTAGAAATATACTTTTAATAGTCATCTATCATGAATTATTTAATAGCTAAATTTTAATTAAAATCAAAAATAAATCCTTACTCAATAATTTTAGATTTTCATATTGATATTTAATAGAAAAGTGCCAGTTTGATATTTAAAAAATATCTTGTTTACTTCTTGCCATATTGCACTATTACTTCTGAATGATATTGTATATTACATTATTTTTCTATTTTAAAAATATTGGTATGATTATTTTACTATGAAATATGTATATTATTTGAATATATGTTTTACATAATTATAATTTTTAGTGCCACCACCTCATCGACTTCTTCTTGAAAGACAATTAAACAAAAGTATTATGATTAGTTGGTTACCCCCAGAATCGTCTACAGGATCAATAAGTGTTTATCATGTTTATGTGGATGGTGTGTTAAAAGCATCAGTTAAAGCAACTGAAAAAACTAGAGCACTGATTGAGGGCGTAGATTCATCTCAGGTAAGCCTTTTAATAAATATACAAAGAAAGTCAGATTCAGATTTCTTAAATTGTTATTTACTTTAAATTTAAGCCACACAGGATAAGTGTAAGATCAGTAAATTCATTTGGGAAATGTTCTCGAGATGCAGCTTGCACAATCGTTATTGGCCGAGGTATTTAAAAATTAGATTAATTTAATTTATTAATGTTGATTTTAATCATATTTCAAAAATTCTGATTAATTTTAGATGTACCTCTCGCACCCAGCTGTGTTAAAGTTTCTGGTGTAACTTCAACTTCTGCAATTATTAGCTGGTTACCTAGTAACAGTAATTTTCAACATGTAATTACTGTAAACAGTGTTGAAGTAAAATCTGTGAAATCAGGAATATTTAAACATACAATAACAGGCAAGTTAAAAATTTTACTTACACATGAAAAATTTTTGTGTAGAGGAAACTAGTTCCAAAAAGATTTTATTTAGCAAAAATAGGCTTACTTATAATATCCAAAGGAAAATCTATTCATTAGTTCAGGAACTGATTATTGGTAACAATCATTTATTCATTAGCAACATTGTACAAAGATACTTATAAATTAAATTCCATTAAATTCTTATAATTATATTGTTAAGTCATTATAGTTTATTAAAACTATACTCTGCATTACGAATATTGATAAAGTAAATTGACAGGAAAACATTATACACATCATGTGAAATTTGAAATAATAAATAAATTAGTAATGAATCCTTTAGTTTGCATTTGTTTTGACAATTCCATAATTTCAACATAGAACATGATACTAACTAGAAATCATTGAACATAATAGCATACAATAACTCAACATATACTAATAAACCATCAATGAGTTGCTCAATTTTCCCAGCAACATTTAAATTTGGTGGTGCCATCTGTTATCATATTTTATTTAAAAAATTTTTTATACTTGTAACTATTATAAAATGGCAAAAACCTTAATTTTGAGGTTTTACCCTCAAAATTAAGGTTTTTGCCATTTTATGGGTTTTAAAAAAATTGTAAATGCCAATAATGAGTAAAATTGTCATTAAGTTCAACTCTACTAGATACACACGATCCCCATTATCTTTCCACCTCTCAACCCAGGGCTGGATTGTTAGCTGCCTACATACTACAAATATTTGGCCACCTATCAGTGCTGATCACAAGTAAATTCATAACCTAACCTAACCCATGTGAGCTTACTGGTATGTTCTATGACAGTTTCATATAATTGACAGGTATAAAAAAACTGTATAAAAATAATTAATATATATTTATTTTAATTCTATTTAAATTAAGCCGCCCTGTAGATAACAGATGCCTTTGTTCAAAGTTATATTTTAGCATTGCCATAAAATAGGATGTGCAATATACAAACATCGCTAAACCCGATATACAGTAGAGCCTCGATTATCCGACCTAATTGGGGACTGAGGTTGGTCGGATAATTGAAAGGGCGGATAACCGAAAAGTATGAAAAAATCCATTATTAGTGTAGTATATTATTATATCCCATGTAATTAGTATATTAGTATATCGCTATTAACCTACTTCGCGTTGAATTTTCATCGATGTTAAGCCTAACAAAAATTTTTTTAAATAATAATCATCGCTATTGTATCGTTAAAAATTAGAAAATTAAGCCTCGTTTAAATACTGGCTCCCTTTCATGGTCGAATGAGTGTTGCCAGCTAAAACACGTAAAAATAATATTAAAGTAGCCAAGACATAGCCAAATATTGTAGCGCCACATCAATAGCGGACATTTGTAATTTGCCGACTAGGACGGTCGGTTAACCGAGGGGTCGGATAATCGAGGCTCTACTGTATAATAAAGCTACACACCAACCGAATGCTGAAAATCAATCGGGCTAGTATAAGGCTAATTATTAAATGAATTACGTAACCAATTTGGCTTTAGAAGTAAGCGTTAGGCGCCATCTCTTATTAACATTAATAATTATAAATAAATAAATTAATTTTAAATAATTTAGAACTGCTGGGAGAAAAAATTGGCCCAGAGCGGGACTCGAACCCACAACTCCTGCTTACCGTGCAGATGCGTTGCCAGTTACGCTATCCGGACCTCCAGTCCAATCTCCTCTTCCAGTGTATAGAAGCTAACTAATATAACCATTTTTGGCATTTGGTTGGCGTGTAGCTTTAGGATGTGCAAATTAAAATGAAATTCATTTAAAGAAATTTTTCTTATTTAGCCTACAATATAAATGCATATATAAGCATACAATAACATTTAGCATACAATATAAATGTATATATAAAAAAATTAATTTAAATATGAATATTTGAATTAATAATATTTGTGCACATCTCTTTCTTTTGTTCCATCAACAATTAAAACAAATATCTGTTAAAGATTAATGGTAATGGGAATAAAGGCCCATTCACAATGAAAATTAAGCATAAACATAAAATCTTGTACCTATATTATTTAATGCAACCATTCACAATGAGTTATGTAAGTATAACTTTAAACTTAATCAATATAAATAAAGCTTGGTTATTTATATTCATAAACTGTAGAGCTATGTCATCAGTCATCATGCAAACATCAATACATTTCATTGCTGACCACTATATTAAAATATTAAATTATATTTGAATTTTATTTTTTAAAGTGCATTATCACAGCCACCCTAGGAATTTGGCTGCCTGCATGCATGCATCTACTGCACTGCACACCTGCCAAAACAGGCCCTGCCTTAACTTAACCTTTAATCGCCAAAATTTAATAGCATCAGTCCCCCTAATACACAAACCTTTTGCAAAATTTCAGTTTTTTTAGAAGAAAAGCACAGGAGTTATTAAGCTTCAAACAGGATGAACAAAATTGTGCCCCCCACACACATCCATACATACAGAAATTACCCCCAATTTTTTTGCATTTCTTGACGTTTCAAAGTGTCCTAAATCTAAAAATCTTGAGGTGTCATTTTTTGACCAATTGCTATACTTTCCCTCTGTTATATTTAACAGCCAGGAAAGTAAAAATTAGAACTATAGATAATTATTTTTGAGATAAATTATATTTTTTTGTTTTTCTTATAAATAGATTAAGTAACAACTTTTGATTTTTAATTGTATTCATAAGTGATGGTTTAATTAATGATTTTAAGTCATAAATTTTGGATAATTAAAAATAATGAAATTAAAATTGTATAATTTCTGAGACTTACATATAACCAAGCAATTTCAAATTAATATTCAATTGAAAGAAATTATGTTTATCATTTAAATATAAATATTTATAGTTAATTGATATAGAAACCACTATATTTAAATTTGTAATATAGAATCAATCAATTATGATACTTTAATTACTGTATTTTTGGCATAACTTTTGTCCAGAATAAAAGCTTAAAAAAATTGCTCTGTATGTGAAGTTGCAATCTCCCATGGGCTAATGAATTCCCCAAACAACTTAAAGTAGACTACAAGTAAACTTTACCTAGCCCAACTCTTGAACAAAAATGTTATTGTTTAATTAAATATATTAATTATTTTGTACCATATATGTTACTGTATGCTGATGATGTGCTCCTCGCCTCCACTGACAAGATCAACCTGCAGCAGCTCATCCAGATAAGGTGTAGTCGCCTTGCACAACATGGCCTCCAATTGAACCTGAAGAAGACTGAGTACTTAACGACAGACCCGACTGAGGAAGGCACAATCATTGTCGATGGCATCAGTCTTCCTCGAGCTGAGTAGTTTAAATATCTTGGGTCTGTGATCTCTGCTGATGGAGACTTGTGCCATGAGACAGTTGCATGCGTCAATGCCGCCTGGCTGAAGTGGCGCTCAATAACAAGTGTGCTGTGTGACCGATGAACTTAAGTCAAAGATTTATCGAACCATCGTCTGGCTTGTCGCACTGTAAGGGGCTGGGTGCAGGCCAACAATGAAGGTTGTCGACCGCCTACTTGCTACTATGGAGACTAGGGTGTTGTGCTGGATGAGTGGCCTTACCAGACTTAATCGAGTACCCAACGTAGACATCAGAGCCCGGTATGGAATTGCTGAGATCAACAAGAAAGCGCGCGAGTGGCACCTGCATCTTTATGGCCATGGGCTCCTTGCTGACGCTGACTCCATCATTCACATGGGCCTAAATTTGGGTCCCGCCCGAGGCAGCATTGGCTGGACACGCTACATCATGACCTGCAAGCTGTAGGCCTAAACCCAGACCAAGCCCATGATTGGGCCAAATGGAGATTCAAAATAAAATCCAGTTGTGCCGAACCCGCTGTTAAACAGGACTAAGGCCAAAGAAGAAGAAGAAAGAATTATTTTGTTCTAGCAAAGCAGGTTTTGCACGTATTCACATTGAATATTTTAATGGTAAAGTTTAATTGTAAATGACTTCTTTTAAACTTTTTTCCTGATAAATAAATTTGTGCATTCTGATTTTGCTTTTTTTAAGCAGAATGTAGTAAAAAAATTGGAGTTGAGAACTAAAGGCACAGGATGGCTTAATACACTAAATACTTATTAAAAATATATTGAAGAATACAAAAAATTTGTCTTCACATCATTACACAATACCAGCAACAAACCAACAAATATACAATCTTCAAGTACAGAGACTCTTTTATTTGAGACTATACCTCTGTAAAAAAATTCAAATTGGTTTAAAAAACATCTGGTGACATTACCATAAATTAAAACAAATAGTTAATTAAAAATGGCAGACAGTAATTTATGTAAATTACTGACTGCCATTATTACATGTATTACTGTCTACACATTAAAAATATATTGAAGAAAAACTATATTCATCAATATATTTTTAATATGTAAATTATCATTGGCCATTTTTAAGTAACACTAAATACTTGTTTTTTCCTAAATATTCTGTACTGAAATATGGTGCATTTTATTTGCATAAAATATAGTTATTTTAAAATAAATTTATGAAAAATAAAGGAATAAAAATAAATTTCTTTCTTTATTTTTCATAATTTTGTTGGTTTTTCTATTATTAAATATATAGATTTATAAAAATTTTATAAGTTAATTATGATACATTATTTTTTATCCTGTTTATTTGATCTCAATTTTAATAAGCAGTTTTAACATAAAAGAATGATTTAAATCATCATAAAACCTAAATATTAATTTATTTTATATTTCTAGTAGAGTAAATAAAGATGGCAGTTTTTAAGAATGTATGCTCTTGATTATTGATATCATTTATATTTTTGTTTTTCTAATAAATTTTGAAATAAATCCAATAACAATATAAAATATAAATATAATTTTATACTTCTGAAATGTTTACATGTTTAATAAAATTTAAGTGTTAGTTAATTTTATCTTAAATATTCTATGGAAAAAAATTGTACTGTAATTAAAAGGAACTTGTATAATTCAAATTCAATTCAAATATATTTATTATTCATATTAGGCCTTTAGCCTGTTACATAAGGGTGTTCTAGTAACATATCATCAAAAAAACTAAAGTTTATCATCACACTAGGACTGGTAGGTATTTAACCCACTGATAAAGAATACATGTCCTTAATATGTGTAACTAAATTAAACAAAATTAGATTAAAATGATTACTTAAAAAATTTTTTTACAAAATTATATAGATTGTATATAATAGTAGTATTAGCTGAATGGAAAAATTGATACATCTTATTTTCATCCAATAAATAATTTAATTAACTTAATTGGTTAAGACCCTATGGATCTTAAATCTTGACCCTTCTTACACTCACAAAACAAATGGAATTTGGTCAATATTTCATTACATCTTGGACAATGAGTTTTTATAAAATTTGTAATTTTATTATTGACCATAATCAGTTCCTTATTTAGTCTGAGTTGGATGAAGAATTTTTTAATTACAAAAGGAATATTTGTTAATATGTAACTATTTATAAGAGGGTAGTCCAGTAATAAATTATATCATTCAGAAATGGTTGAATATCTGCACCGTAGTACTGTAACACCAACTCACATCTATAAACCTTTTACCAGTGTGCATATCATCACACTTTACAACAGTTACAAATGTTTTTGAACCATTACAGTTCTTCAGGTAATGATCCCCTAACGGAATGCGGTTAAAAGTTGTTACGAAATACGATCCGGAACGATGTCCCGACCCGATGACATCACTACAGACTTGTGCATTATGCATGGTGTGCTCTATCTTAGAGATTTATCTATCAGGGCCTGCCAGGCCGTCGATAGAGCGATTTCATCCTTGTAATTAATGCAATTACATATGCCTATGTTAATGTGATCTACATATGCCTAAATATGAGTGAAGAACGTAATTGCATTAACTACAAGGATGAAATCGCTCTATCGACGCCCTGGCAGGCCCTGATAGATAAATCTCTAAGATAGAGCACACCATGCATAACGCACAAGTCCGTAGTGATGTCATCGGGTCGGGACATCGTTCCGGATCGTATTTCGTAACAACTTTGAATCGCATTCCGTTAGGGGATCATTACCTGAAGAAGAACTGTAATGGTTCAAAAACATTTGTAACTGTTGTAAAGTGTGATGATATGCGCACTGGTAAAAGGTTTATAGATACGAGTTGGTGTTATATCATTCAGGTTTATTTCTTTGATATCTTGTGACAATGAAACTTTAAGTGAATTTTGAATTAAATGAGATTTAAGTAATTCAGTAATTTCCTATTTTCCTAGGAGTGGACCTAAAGAAACTCCATAGGTATTAACAATACTTTTAATTTGATCCATCCTTGATCTTCTCTGCGAAACCTGGCAGGATGTTTTATATAACAAAAACAGTAGTTTAGAAGATATATTTCTGCTATCTCTAATCATAAATAGGAAATTAATAAATCTTTTTATTAAGAAAGGACTTAATTTAAATCTATTTAGTTCCAATCTGAGAGCAAAACCAGGAGTATCATACTCCAGAGTAAAAATTTTACGAATAAATTCGTTTTGTATAATGTCAAATTTTTTATAACTTATAAGACCCAAATCAGTGAGGCATACCCTACTACATTGATAATTATTGAATTAAACAGTTTAAAATAAGCAATTATATTCTTTAATTTAGTAATTTAGTAATCAATTTCACCATATTGTTGATCAATACTATGGATTTGGTCTTAATTTTTTTAATAATGTTTATCGAAGGATAGAGTTGGTGTCAGAATTATTCCCAAAAACTTTATTTCCTGTACAATCTTAAATTGTTTGTCATATAGGTAAAAGGATGTATTTTTCATGGAGAGCCTTGACCCATTCTAAAATATCATTATGGAAGATTTGCATGGGTTAATTTTGGGTTTTAATTTATCAAAATATTCGTGCATTGATTTAATCTTCCTATGTAAAGCTGCAGCTGTTGGTGCTACTATAACATCGTTAGTGTAAGATATGGAGTGAACAATTTGACCATCAAAAGTAAAACCATCGTCTTCTCGCTCAAAACATTCATTTCCTCTTTCTATGTGTAACAGTGGCCACTCTCTGTTTTTATATTTAACTATCACTTCATAATGGCATTAGCCTTAGTTTCTATAGGACATCATATATTACAATCTTGATTATTATCTTCTTCTACTTTTCTTATTAATTTATTATGTATATTAATAGAATCCACAATATCCAAAGGAGTTTTGAAGTCATGGCTGATATCCTACTGAATTTGTTCCTAAAAAACCTTTTAATTGGATAACTTTATCTAAATTGAGATCATGTGTATAAACATGGTTTCCACAGATATAACAATCATCTCTAACTCTTATTGTATTTCCATTAGCCTTTTCCTGTTGGGCCACTGCCAGCAATTTTTCTTTCTTATCCTAGATCTTTTACATAGATCAACCGAAAATATAATTTTTTTCCTTCCATCTGTATTAAAATTATCTTTCTTTGCTCAGAATTCTTTAACGATTACATTTCTATCTTGCACAGAATCTAACATAATTTTCACCATAGGATTAACATTATTATCATATAACTTGACTAAACTTTCTATGGGGCTATTTAATATACCCAGATTCATGTTAATAAATTGTTCTAGTTCTTTTAAATACTCTGTAGATTTGAACAGAAAATTTATTATTACAATATTTTTATTACAGTAGTTCTTTCATTTAGTAGTTGATCAATATCAAATTCTAACATACCTTTAACTTGACAATTTTCTTTTGTTATTACCTCCATTTCTTCTAGTTTTTGAATGATTTTTGTGGTTTCTACTTGGCTGACCTTATTTGTTTGTTTCAAATAATTAACTTCTGTTTTGATTGCTTGTAATTCCACATTCAACTGGGAAAATTTATCCTATATTAACTCATAAATCGATTTTAAGGAATACTGAGGTTCTTTTAGTATTTGTAAATTCGTTGCTTGAACTGAGGCGAAGTAATCCTGTATTTTTGTATTTCTCACGTCACTTGAATTAGATTTACTATATTCTTGCTCATCTTGCTCAAAATCTTCACTAGTATTTCCTCTAATTGATTAACTTTATTGAGTACTTCGGAATTAGCTTTACGAGGCCTGCTGTGCTCCCTTCTTTGAATATCTGACTAGCTGATTTGTTGTGGTGAACGGGTTAACGGCCCTGGGTTTAACTCAATTCCAGCCATAAATAACAAGAACACAATCAAAACCAAGGTCAATCTATTAATAAACCTCCACTTCTCCAATAATATCATGCCAAGTCTTTTCAAAACCAACCACTTTGAATCAATACACTCTACAAAAAAACATGCCAGCACCATCGACAACCGTAACACACCCCTGAACTTGTATAATTAGCTTTTTCTTTATTAATAATTTAATAAGTATGATAATTTATTTGTTGTAAACAAATTAATCAGTTTCAATGAATCCTTAACTTATATAAAATATTAAAAATAATTTTTGACATTAAATTATTTTTAGGTTTAGCTCCTAATACACAATATCTTGTTTCTGTAAGAACAAAACCTAGTAGACTCGTTTATAATGATGAAAAGAATCCAAAAAAATTAGAAATGTTAACTTCTTATGTAGAATTTCGAACATTACCAAAAGGTATAGTATGCATTTAGTTATTAATATATATA